ACATATGGCAAATAATGAATGAAATTATTGGAAAACAATATTATGCTCAGGTTTTCTGCCACAAATGGTTAGAGTTGATAACAAAAGTTTATACGAACCAAGAACTATAGCTCAAGAGTTTAAGAATTTTTTTTATCGATATAAGTCCAACACTTTCTAAAAACATAAAATTTTTATTGAATAAATTGAAATAAAAAGGGATTCTGTAACTAAATTTTTAGGTGTTTATCTTGATGAAAACATCACTTGGAATCATCATATCGACAACATAAGCACTAAAATTTCAAAAAACATAGGAGTTATATATAAAGCACGAATGTACCTCAATAAGAAAATTTTAATCAAACTTTATTGTTTATTTATACGCAGTTATTTAAATTATGCTAATATCGCCAGGGGTAGTATACAAAAAAGTTGCAACCTCATTATCGCTGTCAAGAACATGCTATCTGTTTAATCTGCTTTGCAAATCGTTTTTCTCACACAAAACATTGTTTTATTGAAATGAGAATTTTAAAAATATACAAGCTAAATATATATATATTGTTTTATGCTTTGTATACATGTAGAAAATTGACTCTTCAAAAATATTTTTACTCCGAAACCCATCAACAAATACAATTTGAGAAATACTCATTTTTTAAATAAACCTTTCTTTCAAACGAACTTTAATCAATTTTGTATTGCCTATCGGGTACCACACCTTTGGAATAAAATTGATTCAAAGTTTTTATTTGTAGCCATGATTAATATATTTTATTTAAGATTTCTTTTTAGGAATGCCCATAAAATTATTCGTTAAAATTGCTTTTAAAAGAAGTTTTAATGTAAACAATTTTGCCATACCTTACCGTAACACTTTCACCATTCAATCGCCTTTCTTTTACTTCAGCAAACAATATTTCGAATAGCGACGGTTTCTCAAGAAAAATCTTCGTTCACAAACGTATTTGTGCCTTTGAGTCGATACAATTCCTTCAATATTCTTATTTTGCCTATATATTTCTGAAGATTTAATATTACAGTCCTTGGTCGACCATCGTTTTTTCGTCCAGTGCGGTGAGCTCTCTCAATTTCGACATCTTTTAATCCAATTTTTTCGGTGGACTTTTTTTTTAGTATCCCCCATGATTCTTTATTGTTTTCGAAAATTCCATCAATCCTAAGATTGTTTCGGCGTGATCAATCTTCTAAGTTTCGTTGTTTTTCATTTAATACATTATCTATTTTTGTATGTTTCATTTTTTTATCTAGATAATTGTTGTTAGTAGTTATTTTTCCGTCGATAAGTCCTGCATTAAAATTAAGACTTACCTTTATATCTTCTAATTCTTTTGTTGATTTTTTTTTACAATTTGCATTTCCGTCAATATTTTTCTCTACTTTTTCAAATCTGTCGTTTACTATTTTTATGTTAGCGCCAATAATATCGAGAACTGCTTTTTCTTGCTTTTGAAACATTTTTTCGGTTTCGTTTTCAAATTCTTTAAACATTTCTTATAAAAGTTTCTTTATTTCGGGAAGTGTTACAGTGTTACAGTATACGATATTGTTTCTATTTATAAAGTTAATGTTTTATTCCTATATTCCTATATAAACAGCATTTTGAATATTTTAAAATTTTACAAACTTTGAAGGTTTGCAGGATTTGTTGGAACAATAGATGGATATTCCATGACACGTTCTATTAGAATAAGAATTATATCAAAACAGAAAAATATATTTATCTTTGAACAGCCAGGTAACTAAAGGTCCTTTATAAGCAACGTTTTTTGTTTTTATTTAGTGGACTAGATCTGTTTAAGAATCACTTTTTTATTAACTCAGCCTTTAAATATGTTTTAATGTCTCATTAGCGCATCTATGTTATAGGGGACAAAACCCCAATAATTTACAAAGATGCGACAGTGGAGTGTGATTTTGGAAATTAGCAATCTTCCTTTATAAATAAAACCAAAACTTTTTTATAGAAATTATTATATTTTGCTTTACTTCACAAAATTGTTTTTTAACATTTTAGGTTACAATTAAATGTAAAACTATAATTAGGAGAATGGTTTCAGAGCATCGAGAAGAGGTTTTGTAGGAGTAGTTAAAATTGTTAAGCTATTCCTTTTAACTTTTCAAAGAATGAAAACAAAAATAATTAAAAAGTATGAATAAAGAAAGTCTTTTTTCTTGATAAACTAAATTAAAAACTTAATATGAAAAAAATAAATAATTAAATTGTGAAATAATAATAATATTCAAAAACGCAAAAATGCTCTTTTAAACTAATCTTTAAAATTGTGTTTATTAAAATCAACCTATTTAGAGAAAATAATTCAAGTAAGATAATAATATTATAATATTATTATCTTACTTGAATTATTTTCAATAATTCAAGTAAGATAATTATTATACGTAGATTTTTATTTTAATGTCATAACACTTCTGTAACTTTTTTGGCTTTTTTTGTACCTCAATTTTTTGATATCAAAAAAACCCTACACCAATTATGTACTTCAGTGACACATTTGATTTTTGGGTATGTAATAATATTGGTATTGTAAAACGAAAACAAATTAAATTCTTTCTTTTGTCTGTAAAACATTCGGTTTTTTGTATGTAATAATATTTATATTGTAAAACGAAGAAAAATTTTTTTTTTTTTGTCTGTAAAACATTTAACATGACTTTAAACTCTGCAGTATTGTATATTATATGAGGGTAACAAGTTGATTAAAATAACAATATAAAATAAGATATAACTCTCCAAGTGAGTGGGGGGACTCTAATTTTGATTAAAAAATGCTACTCTCTAATATTTACTGCACTTACACCAATTAAAACGGAATAACCAATTTGGGTCAAAGACCACAACAAAATTGGCAAGCTAGAGCTCACTTTAGTTAGATTCTACCCGCAACAATTACCACGGGGTTATTCATCCTGCATTGTAGCAGACGTAGGTATACTATAGCTCATACCAGAGTTGGTAGCCAACAAGCAAAAGTCAGCAATCTACCAGCTTCTGCACCAAATCGAAAATACTATCTCTAGTAATACACGAGAGAATAAACCTCTGATATATGTAACTGGTGACTTAAAAAATGCCAACACAAAAAATATAACCAACTCACAGAGTCTTCACTAACTTAATAATCTACCAACCAGACAAAACCGTGATCTAGATATAATACTTACAAACGCCCCAAAATCAGTATACAAATGCTCAAACCTTCCACCACTTGGGGAGTCAGATCACAATATAGTCCACGCTTTTCCATTAAATTCATTATATTGCAAAACTAAACCAGCACCTACATTAGCAACATACAGATCTGGTAACATTGCAGACACGGCAGAAGCTCTGAAACAAACAATTTGGAAACAAATTATCCCAAGTCATTTAATAAACTTTTCTCAAGACAATGGACAAATAGCATTGAAAATTATCACCAACCATATAAAACAACAAAAATTGTCAATGATAAACCATGGAAGACAGCAGGCATTAAGAAGGGTTTCTACAGTGTCTGGAATGGTTCAAAGCAGACGGGCATATCTTGCTTTATAATTAATTCAAACCGCCAAAACGTACCTTTACTCTTTACTACAAGCATTGTTTCAAATCTTTAAAAAAATTTAAAACAAGGATCACCTAGACATGATCAGATCTCCCCAAAACTAATCAAATGCGTTCGTCTTGAAATCTCCAATATTCTAAGTCTTCTGTTTAACAAGTGTTTGTCTAACTTATTTACGCCTTATCAATGGCATAAATGAGTGAGACAAAAACTTGCAAACATAACACCTATTGTTAAACTACCAAACCCAAGTAACTTGTCAGACTTCTGTCCAATCTCACTTACATTCCACCTCTGTAGGACATCAGAAAGAGTTTTACTATCCAACAAAATTTATTATCCAACATACTCACAGCAATTTAGAAAACAACAAACAATATGGATTCCAGGTAAAAGCACAACGGATGTAATCGCATGTGTCATAGAAGACTGGCATTTCGCTAAAGACAATAAAGTTTAATTGCAATATTCTTTGACTTTACTAAAGCCTTTGACGTAATCGATCACGAACTTCTTCTTACCAAATTAACAATATACCTCCCTAAATGGCTTGTTTCCTGGATTGCATTGTACCTACAGACCAGATATCAGCGAGTTTATACAAACGACATAGCAACAGAATGGCAACCTGTGGAAGCTGGAATCATCCAAAGCAGTGCACTCGGACCCATTTTTTTCATACTCTTCACACTCAATAAAAATGATATATTTAACTGCAATACTGAACTTTACAAATTTACTGATGACATCCTTGCATGCAATGTTGGAGACCTAGCCCACTCAACCCTACCACAGGAAATATGCAACAAAGTTAATAGCTGGTGCATTAAAAACCAAATGCTATTAAACGCAACAAAATGCAAAACCATAACAATACCTAGTATCGAAATCGACACACGCCCACCACCAACTGACAAAATATCAACTTCGGGTTCAAGATGGCTTCTGCAAATACGGCTAACAAAAATAGTTTTACCCAAAGAACATTGCGTCTTTTAAGAGATGCGAAACATAAAATGTACACTAGTTAATCAAAGCAAATACAAATCTAACAACCAAAATATGTGTGCTATATATGTATGAATGTGTGCATGTATGAATAAAAAAAAATTTTTAATTTCTAAATTTTTAGACCATTGAATTTCAATAAAAAATATAAAAGATAAAATATAAGATTTAATTTTACGGATTATCTTTTCTTTTTATTTTTGCAAAAGTTCGTTTTTAGTTAATTGTAATAGCAAACTCTAATAACTACAGTAATGAATTGAATATATTATAGAAATAAAAAAGAAGTATCGGCAACAAAAACAGTCAATTAAATCAAATTTTAGTGGTACAAATATTGAAAGCACAATGTTATAAACAATGCTATTTATTGCTTATAATTTACTCCACTTAATTTATAATAGAAAACAAACACTACGCTACATTTAGATGGATCTTCGTCTGAATTATCCAAACAGTCATAGCGACCATCACATTTACGATACCATTGAATGCACTCACCACTAGAGCAATAAAATTGAAAACTACTGCACTCTAAAAAAAAAAAAAACTAATATTTTTTTAAATTTTTATAAGTTTTTACGAAAACATATATATACGTAAATAAAACTCAAAAAGTCTTTTTTTTTGTTATACAATTTGTTTATAATAAATAAATTGATTTCAATTAAAAGGCAACATTCAACTATTTATATTTAACTTATATAAAAATTACCTTTACGATAAGTTTTTATAAAACAAAATTAAGTTATAACATCTGTTTTATCTGTTTACGTTTTTATCTATAGGATTTCTGTTTTACGTTAAAAAATATTTACACCTTAACACATTAATATACATGCGTATACTTTTTAGATATTCATAATGTCTTATAGCTCTATTAATGTGTTAAGGTGTAAATATTTTTTAACGTAAAACAGAAATCCTTATGTTGTTAACTTTTTGCAAAAAAAAAAAAAAAAAAAAAAAAAAAAATAGCTTTCAAAAAAGTTTATAATAGTTTTAATAATTAAGTTTTAATAATAAAAATAGTTATAATAGTTTTAAAAATATAGTTGTAATAATAATAATAGTTTTAAGTTATGAAAACAAAATAAGTATGAGAATTTTTTTAAATTAAACATTTAAAGATTGAATCGCAAGAAGAAGTGGTTTTGATTTGTTTAAAACAAAGATGATTTACAATAAATTAATTACGCGTGAATTTTGATAGAAATTCTTTGATTTGTTTCATAGTTACTAACTGTAACTAAAATGGCTTTAAGTTAACTAAATTTTGAAGTAACTTCTCTAAATTTTTTCCAAAAAAATAATTTTGTAATTAATAAAAATTCTGACCCAGATCTAAATTACTTTAACGAGGCTCATTCTTTGCAGAGTAACTGCTCTTATTTTTTTAACAATGAAATAAAAGAATTTATTTAGCGAGACCAGTTAAATGTTTTGCATACTAATATAAGAAGTATTAACAAAAATTTTGAAGCTTTTTAAAATAAGATGGAGGGTGTATTCGATATTTTTAACATAATATGCATTACAGAAACTTGGTGCAATTCTAATGAAGCCAATTCTAACTCTAACTTTTTTTACCAGGTTTCACTTTTTTTTTCTCTAGAGCGTAAAACGAAAAACGCGACGGCGGTATTTTTATTTATATAAAGAAAAAGTTGCAGTTTATTAATAGGCTTGGCTTGACCGTTTCTGATGACGATAAAGAGGTTTTAACAATAAAAATATTACCAAAAAAAAAAAATATATATATACTTTTGAGTTGCTGCTATCGCCCACCAACTGGTGTAATTAAATATTTTAATACTTTTTTAAATGAATTTGTTTTTAAAAAAAGTAACCATGAAAAGAAAATAAACTATTTAATTGGGGATTTAAATTTTGATTGTTTACAGTATCATGCAAAATACTTTGACATGATACTGTAAACGATCATTGTAAAACAATACTGTAAACAAGTCATTGTAAAACGATACCGTTTTTAAATAAGTTATTGTTTTACAATGACTTATTTAAAAACGGAGCTTTTCCGATAATAACGAGACCGACAAGAATTACTGAATCAATGACTTCATTAATTGACAATATAATAACGAACGATATTTTTAATCATTCTCTTAAAAAAGGAATCATTAAATTTTTTTTTTTTTTTTTTTTTTACTTTAATTCACCTCCTCAAGGCCGAGAAGGCCACTACAGACGAGGAGGCTACTTATTTGTGGTTATAACCCTCTCTCAACTCTATAACTCCGAAACGCGAAACTTGACGAGCAAGGCCGCTGCGCGGAGAAACGAGTTGAGCGCGGTACTACCAGGGACGTGGTGGGGATCGAACTCGGAACCACTCGTTTATGAAGCGAGCGCTCTACCACTACACCACTACCGCGTATAAATGCGATATCACAGATCATTTTTCGTTTTTTTCTCCAATACAGATAAAAAAATGATACTAAATAAAAAAAATAACTTTTTAAAACGCGTTTTTAGTAATGTTATAGCATCATTTAATTGTTAATTATCTATGCTGCATTGGCAACATATTGATCATTTTCAGGACGCAAAATTAGCTTATAGCAATTTTCTTAAAACATTCTTCGATATATTTTTTTTTTTTTTAATTTTTTAATTTTTTTTTTTTATTATTTTTTTTTAAGGTGCCCCAAGAAGTCCTTACGATCTTATCACAGAGCACCGCGGAAGAGCATTTAATAGAAAGTTCACGCCTCCTTCCAAACCGATGTCGCAAAACTTGCCTAGAGGTGGGGTTTGAACCACGGATCTTATGTTTCTGAGGCAAGTGCGCTACCACTGCGCCACGGCTGCTCATTTGTGACGCAAGTTTACCTAAAATTAAAATTAAACAAAAGCTTATTTATAACGCAAGTATTCCTAAAATTGAAATTAAAGAAAAACTTAAAAAAATAGCATCCCTATGGATAACCAATGCACTAAGAAAATCTTCCAAACTTAAACAAAAATTATATATTAAGTACTTGAAATCCAAATCAGTTGAAAATAAAACCATTTACAAAAGTTATGCTAAAGAATTCGAAAGACAAAGTAATAATTTAAAGATAAATACTATCTTGAATTACTTGAAAAAAACAAAAACAACTCAAAACGGACAAAGTTTTTAGAGAAATCACTGGTAAAGCTATAACTAAATTAGGCACTTTGCCTAACGGTATTAAAATTAATGATAAAATTGTAAATGCTCCAAGCGATATTGCAGTTGAACTAAATAAGTATTTTATTTAAGCGGGGCCTAACTTAGCAAAAAAAATTGCTTATACTAGTAATTCTTATGAATTTTTACCTCAAAAAATAACAAGTCTTATATGCATTGAAATATCATTTAAGGAATTTGAAGCTGGTTTCAAAACGATTAAACCAAATACAGGAATTTGATTCAACGATACCAACGGAAATGTCGTCATAAATTCATACAATTTTATTGAAAATACTCTATTTAAAATCTTTTCGTCTTGCGTTAGCCGAGAGGTTTTTCCTGATCAACTTAAAATTGTCAAAATAACGCCAATATTCAAAGGAGGGAATGCATCTAATGTTAATAACTATTGCTCTATCTCTGTTCTTCCTGTATTTTCAAAAATTTTAGAGAGAATCTTATATAACAAAACCAATCACTCACTTTCTGTAAATATAATTTTATTTAATAATCAATATGGTTTCAAAAAAAATAACTCCACAGAGCATGCAATACTTCAGTTTACACGTAATATTAAGGAGTCGTTTAATAAATCAAAATATACATCAGGAATTTTTTTTGATTTATCAAAAGCTTTTGATACTACTGACCATCAAATTCTTATTAAAAAGGTGGAACTATATAGAATCACAGGAGTTATTTTAAAATGTGTAAAGAGTTATTTAAGTAATCGTGCTCAATATGTACACATTGACAATAATTCACCATAAACGTTACTAAATATTACTTGTGGCGTGCCACAAGGTTCTATACACGGACCTCTTCTTTTTCCTATATATGTTAATGATCTTCATAAAGCAACCAGCCTGAGGACAATAATGTTTGCCGATAACACACATTTTTTTTAATCGTACAGCAAGATTATTATATTATTTAAAGTTATGAACTTAGAACTTAAAAAGGTTTCCGACTGGTTCAAAGTCCATAAACTTTCAGTAAATATTGACAAAACTAAACTTGACTCTATTTTACCCACATTCCAGAAAAAAACTAATACCATGCGAAACGCCATCAATATTCATTGATAATATTTAAGTTAAAAGAGTAAATATTACTCAGTTTTTAGGAATTTATATTAATAAAAATCTTACATGAAGACAATACATCTAAAATTTAAGCAACAAAAACTTTCAAAAAGTATTAAAATATTATTCAAATCAAAAGCTATCTAAACATGCGCACTTTAATGCAACTATATTATTCACTTCTTTACTGTCATGTTAACTATGCAAATAATGCGTGGGGCAGTACTAACAAAAGTAAAAAAGAGCCTCTTCATCATCATCGGAAACTTATAGCACGTTTAGTTAATTTTTGTGATCGACGAACTCATTTAAAGCCTCTCTTAAGAAAAATGAATGTTTTAAACATATATCAACTTAACGTATATAATACTCTATGTTTTATGTACAAATGTAAAACGAAGTTATCCCCGGCAACTTTTCATAATTTCTTTATAACAAAACAAAAACATAAGTACGATTAACGAAATAGTGATTTTTTGATGCAACCATTTTCGAAAACTAATCATTATAAATTTTGCGCATCATTTCGTGGACCGTATCTTTGGAACAAAATTGTCTTAAATAACTTTGATATTTCTTTTGAATGGAAGTACATATATTTTAAAAAAAGTTGAAAGAAGCAGTTTTTGAAATTGACAATATACAAATACACTTTTAAACTTTTTGAATTTTTTTTATGTATTATTTATATCGGTTTATATGATTTGTAGTATATGATTTTTCTTAATATCATTTGCAACTCAATTATTCACGATCTTTAAGCCTATATTACTATTATACTATCTGCCCAATTATCTCTAAGAAATTTTTTGTGAACTTTCTATTTTTTTGTAGTTTTTTTAATTCAAATCTTATTTAATTTAATTTTTGCATAACACTTTTTTATTTACTACGTAAAGTATTAAACTTGTCAAAATGTAACAATGTTTTTTTACCGCAGTATTCGACGACAAGACTATATGGTCTTCTACGATTTTTCGCGTCCATTATATATATATTAAATATCTTCATTTGTAATTGTTTCAACTTTTTTTATTTTAGCTTGTAAATGTTATAAAATATTAACGTAATGTTTTAAAATGTAATAAATAAACAAAAAACAAAAAACAAAAAAACAAAAAAAACATATTTTATCAAAAGAAGGGATAAAAATAATGAAATCCTTTTGATTTAACAGTCTTGGCACCTTCGTTGACAGTTTATTTTTTATTTAATTTATTTTTGTAAGAACAAAGATTAACACCGGTAATAAAATTGTTAAAATAATCCAA